ACACCTTCCTATTGTTCTAAGCCACTGAGTTTGGTGTCCCTGGCTGTGGCAGTGCTCAGCAGACTCATACAACACTGTCTGCTCTTCCAGCCCTGCTTGGACAGAAGCCACCTTTTGTTCCCCTTTGTATCTCAGCAGTTGGTGTCATCCCTGGCCCGTAGGAGGCGCCAAGAAAGTATTTGTTGAGTGAACAAGTGACAAAATTAAGTATAAGCTCAGTAGGAGGAGGAACGATGTCTTTTATCTCTATTAAGAGACCAGAGCAAATTAGGGACTCCAGAGATGTTCATACAATGAATAAGCTTCTTAAAATGAATGAAGAGAAATGTGGGATGGCTTTGCAGCGAGCCTTATTTATCCGTTTCCTCGGATTAAGCGTAGGGCGTGGCACACAGTAGCTGCTTAATAAATTTTGAAGGCGGAAAGGAAACAAGACCAGGCCACGGTCTCCCAGTTCTCACTCTAGAAGGGCTTTTCCTCCTGGAGGCATCTCACTGGCTGCAGAGGGGCGGACGTCGTGAAACAACCAGTTGAATTTTCAGCTGCCTCGATGATCCTGAAAGGGTTCTCACAGTGGAACTTGAACCTTGTCTGTTGAGGATGTGTTTATTTTTCTTTTACATCCAGAAATCTTAAGGTTTCCCCACCCTGCCAACAATGTCAGAAATGCAGCTGGAGTTGAGAGGTCAGCGCGTCTGAGTCCGGCTCTCAGGACACGTTTCCTGTCCATGTGCGACCTTCATTCCTGACCCTGCCCCGCGGCCACCAAGGAGCCTCAGCGGGACCCGGAGAGCTGGCTGTGGACTGACAGCGGCGGCACGCGGCAGGAAGAGCCTTGACCTCGGCAAGGCAGAGGCACACAGTGTTTTTTTGCAGGCTTGGTTTAGGGGGAGCTCAACTTGAGGTCAGTTCATTTATGCATATGGAGAAAACCCCTGAAAATAAGGTCAACTGATGATTCCCACTGCTGCTCAGAACTCTATTCTGCTGTTCCCTGCTGTGCTGGTGGTGTCTGGGGTGGGGAAAAAAAAACCCACTAATTCTTATTCCCCTGGACTTGTGCTTGAGGGATGGTGACCGCACTTCTGTTGGCTGTGATTTTACTTATTCACGTGTCATTTTGATGGCCAGACATAAGCGGTGCCTGCACTTGGGTCCTGAGAGAGGTAGTGAGTCCCTGGTCCTGTGGGCTCCCCTTCTGCTGGGCTGAGCTCCAGGCTTGGCACTTGCTGCTGTGAGTCAGGTGTGGGCCAGCATCTGTCGTGATGACAGACATGGAGAGAAAAGTGACCCCTTCTCAGTGCTGGGGACAGAGGGACCTGCTTTCTGTTTGGGGACATGGTCCTTACGTGGTCAGCTCACCCATGGAGGGCAGAGCTCCTCCCAGCAAGGAGTCCTGGAGATGTGGGTCTGGAGGGCTTGCGGGATTAGCCTCACTCAGCTCCTGTGCCCCCTGGGTGTCCTTCCCAGAGCCTGCCCAGCTGGTCATCAGTCTGTCTGGTATTTACCTCCTCCTCTTCCTCTGGATGGAAAGCACCATGAGGACCGGGAGTGTCTGCTGCCCACACCTTTGTGTCCCAGACTCCCTATGTTTCTGGCAGGTGAGTAATACTTATTGGTTGATAACGATATGAATGAGCCAACAAACAAAAAGAAATAAAAGGTGTCAGGCCTCATGTGACAGTAAGAGAGTGTGAGCTCTGGGGTCAGGCAGGTGTAGGGGTCACCCATGCTCTACCACCCACCGGCTCACGGGATGCTTCCAGATTGTCTGTGGCATACATGGGCCATTCAGTATTCTGTGCTCAGGCACCCAGCACCCAGATCAGGAAATGGAGCGCAGAAATTCACCTTATGCTCCCTCCAGTCGCTGCCCCCGCAACCAGACTAAATAAACACCCTCCTGCCGGCTGCATGATGGCTGACAAGTTACCCACCCTCGCTGGGTCCGACCTTCAAACGGAGAAAGCAATATCACGCTACAGGCACGAAAGTTTAGAAATGTATGTGCAGTGCCCGGCAAACAGGGCTGAGCAGGAACAGGAGGAGCAGGAGGAGCACCGACACCAGTAGTAGAACAGGTCATGGCAGTCGCAGTCATTGCATGCCATGGTGATGGGAAAAACAAAGGGATTAGTGACAGCAAAAGCAGCAGCTGGGGCCTCCCTGGTGGCGCAAGGGTTAAGCACCACACTATGAAGAAATCCTCAGCCTCTACAGCATCAGTTTGATCCCTCGCAAGCCAGGGAGATTCCCACATGGTGCAGCAGACCTCTCCTGTCTCGCCCGCTGCTCCCCTTAGCAGTGTATTTCAGTCAGTCTGCCTGTTCTGCTCCCCGCTCTATCTCTGGTGAATCCTCTCGTCCCCCCACCCCACACCTCTGGCCTGTACCCCAGCTCTTATATGCATAAATAAATAAATCTTCTAAAAAAAAAAAAAAGCAGTAGCTGGTGCAATAACCACAGCGACAGTAGTGGCAAGAGTAGAAGTGATCATGAGTTAAGAAGTAGTAGTAGCAATAGTCCTGACTAAACAAATAGTAGTAGGAATAATAGAAGCTTTGGCTCTAGGAACAAAAGAAGCAGCGGCTACAGGAATAGCAGAAGTAGCGACTGTAAGAACAGCAGAAGCAGCAGCTGTAGGGACAGCAGAAGCAGTGGCTGTAGCAGTAGCAGACGCGGCAGCAGAGGTCAGAGGAGAAGTAGTAATGATAACAGAAGTAGCCATTATAACAGCACAACTAGTAGCAATGGTAAGAGGAGCAGCAGCAACAAGAAGAGCTAACACTGATATATAGCACTGATTATGTCCCAGCGATTTACCTCAATTCAGCTAATACTCAACATAATGCTCACAGGATGTTTAAAAGAGAATTTTACAGATGATGGCACCGAGGCAGAGGGCTCAGTAGCTTCTCCGGGAGTCACACATCCAGCATTCAACCACCACCAGCCTGGCTACAGAGCCCAGCTCTTAACAGCAACCTTTCCATACCTATTTGCCTAGCAAAGAAAGATTTGTTCTCCAGTATCTGTTCTCTTCTATAGTAACGGATCTCAATTTTGGTAAGCGTATGTTTTGCAGAACCGATTACATTTCCCAGCCTTTCTTGTTGCTAAGTGTAAGCAGAGAAATAAATTCTGGCCAACTAAATATAAATAGTAGCAGCAGGCGCAGTACCCAATGAACATCATTAAAGGGAGGGGCCTGCCTTTCTTCTTCTCGTTTCTTCTCCTATGAGTATATGTGATGGCTGGCGCACAAGCAGCTGGGATGAACCATGAGGTAACCTTGGGAAGGAAGACCCATACGGTAGAAGGAAGAGGGAGGCTTGGTGTCACCAATGGCTGCAGCAGCCCTGCCACTACTTGTGTCTGACCATTCAGGTAAGGGAGAAATAAACTCCTATGTCCTTAAAGCCAATGTCCTTTTAGATTTTATGTCATTCAGTTTATGTCAAAACTTAATCCTAAATAATGCACTGAGATTTTGCAATTATAATTAATGTGAAAAGACATCTGCAGAACGAATGTTACCTTTGTGTTGAACTCTTGATTTAAAACACAGAACAAAATAAAAAGTGGCTTTAGCTAGTTCTCTCACAGACAAATGACAATGATGAGCACAGAAAGCCTTATTTACTCTGGAAAGTGGTGACAGTCTCGTCAGTTCATGTTGGGATCACATTCAAGTCTCTCAGGTAGGACTCCCTGTCTTCAGCCTCTCACCTTCCCATCCACTTAGGACAAATGTGCTTATTAAATCATACTTAAAAGTGATTTTCATCCAATAATTTGGAATAACTACAATGCTCTATGTGTCTACTTTATATCAGACCTTTTTTTTTAAAGATTTATTTATTCATTCATTCATTCATTCATTTAGTTATATAAGCACTGGGTACAGTCAGAAGCGCGGGAGGGTGAGAGAATTCACCAGAGCCAGAGCGGGGAGCAGAGCAGGCAGAAGGACCGAAGGACACTGCTGAGGGGAGCAGCGGGCAGCAGGAGAGGTCTGCGTGCCATGTGGGACCCTCCTCCGGTGGCCGGGGAGCAGCCGGGGATTGAACCAGCGCTGCAGAGGCTGCGGGCAGCATCGCAACCCAGCGCTCAACCGCTGCGCCACCAGGGAGGCCCTTATATCAGACATTTTTAATCTGTATTTTTTTCCTAAACCTGCACCAAAAGTCATTACCTCTTCCACAGATAAGAAAACAGAGAAAACAGAGATGGTGGGTGACTTGCCTTAAGTCACACAGCGAGTGGTGGCAGCCCTGGATGACTCCACTCCCTCCCACGCCCTGGTGCTCTCCCGCTCGCAACGCAGACTTCTGGGAAACACCTGGCACAGCAGCTCACCCTGTGTCTAGTCACCCCAGATTCCTGAGTAGGAGTTTTCTGTCCAGTTCTTGGGGTTCCTGCTGGCCAATGAAATTTTTTCTCTGCTGTCACAAACTTCCACCCACTGAGGCAGACTCCCTAGCTTCTATCACATGCCCCCTGAACAGGCCTCAGAATTCCCAGCCCCAAATGGGGCAATGTGGACCTTGGCCAACAGGCAGCATAGCAGAGAGGAGAAAGGCGGGCGACCTGGAGTCAGGAGAAGTTGACTTAAGGCCCCGCTGGCCAGTTCTTTATCCGTGAGCTGAGCGTTGTAATTCCTACCCATCACTACTTTGATTCCTGACTTCGCCCCTCGTACCACTCCCCTGCCCGACCTTTGCTTCTGAATAAAGGATAGAAATAATGTGATAGAAAACTCTTACGAAATTGCTTTTTAAAAAAGTTTTAAAAAGAAAAGAAAAACACTTACGAAAAGTCTACAGTTCGACAAAAGCCAGAGATCTGTTCTCCACGAGGACTTGCACCACGCGTGTTTCCAGCAGGTTCAAGGGCTTCGGTTGGATTAATTTTTGCATTTCAAACACCCCCCCAAAAAAAATAATCCCTCCACATTCCCACTTTGGGTTCTGTGGATGGGCTGGGCTAAGAACACTCACCGATTCCATAGTGAATCTCTCGACGAAAAACTGGAGAGCCTGGAGGCTGAAGATCTCATGTCTCAGCTGTCACATCAGAAAATTACCTGGATGGGGGGAGGGGAGAAAAGGTAACAAGAGTCATCCAGGGAACCGAGCAGAAGCTACAGTCTGAGACCAACACGTGACTTCCCCTGGCAGCAGCACCTGCGTTAGGAAGGTTCTTGCACCACAGAGAGGCTGTCTGGGAGTGCGAAGGGAATCTTCTGGGAGACCATTTCTGTGCTCCACTTTGAGGCTGATCTCTCCATCGTGAAGCTGTGCAAGGGCTCAGGAATCCTCCTTGCGTTCTATTTCTAGCTCTACGTTGGAGAGCAATTTACAAGTCATTAACTTCTCTAGACCCAGGCTCTTAAACATGAAATTAAAGTGAGCTGACAGGTGCAACAGACAGACAGACAGACACTTGCACAATGTGTGCCCACGGGAAAGCAGAGGTGTTCCCCAAAAGGGAACCAGCCCCAGGAAAGGGGAAGATGCATATGACTAATTTCAGGACAACCCCTCTGAACCCGAGAAGATGTTAATTAATTCATGCATACCAAAGCTTAATTAATTGCCAAGTGCACAGAACACGGGAAGTCTGGGATAAAAGGTGTCACATAAGGAAACAGCTTCAATATTTGCAGAACGGAGGGATATCGAGGTGGAGGCATGAAAACAAGATGTGCCAAGGGATCTGAATGTTTCGTCAACACTGACCCTAGCTCAGAATAGTACCTCCTTCTGCAGCAAGAAAACAGGACACTCTGACCCACCATTCTCCCTAGTCCCGTACCCATACCCAATCCATCCTGAGCTGTGTCTCCCTTATACCTGAGAGTCTTCCCATCTTTCTCCCCATGTCCACTGATACGGGCCTGGTCCAAGCAGCCTCCATCGTCACCCAGACCAGGGCAGCAGGACCCTAACTGGACTCCCCTCGTCAACACCCCTCCCTCTGAACACGATTGCCTCCCACCCCCGCTGAAGCTAGAGTAATTTTTTTTCACCTTTTATCAAGGGGACTTTTATAGCCATGATAATAGAGAAAAGCATCATGAACTCCAATACCCACTGCCCAATCACCCTGAACTCAGCCAGCCCTACCCCACGCACCCTTGCCTCCCCACATTATTTCAAGCCATAAAAGGACCTTTTAGGAGCTCAGCAACAGCAGTCACATAAGCTGCTGGGCCACTGACCCAGCTCCACCCTGTCCCACTTCCCCTCGGTGAGTCCTGGTGACAGGCAGCTGGGACAGGATGGAAGGCCCAGTGGGCGCACAAAGGCCCCGAGTTCCCACCAAGCTTTGCTCCTAGGCAGAGCCTCGCCTCGTCCTCCTCTGGGAGTCTCCTTGGCTCCCGGGGCCCTTGTTTGTGACCTGAGACCATTAATCGCAGGTCACTAGTCTGTGCGGTCAAAGAGCTGCCTGAGGTGTGACACCAGAGTCAGTTCCCACCCCACGCTCTCCACCCAGAACCCCAGGGCAAGGAAGGGTGGGGGCCCTGGTGACAACAGACTCCCCGTCCTGCTGCTGTGCCCATTTATTCTTTGCCCCTAATCTTTTATTCAAACAGAGGTTATTTCTTTCCAGTTATGAAAACCACTCCAGTCCACCGTGAAAAATATTAACGCATGAAACTAAAATCTTTTGTTATCCCAATACCTAGATATAAATATTGGATGAAGCAAAGAATGCATTTCATGATTTTCTTAGAACCAGGGAACTACCAATAAGTAGGAAAAATTCCGTTTTGTATTCATCCATTCAGCAAATATTTGTCTTATGTCGGCCATGTGGGCACAGCCAGGGGCTGTTTTGTCACCTGGAGAGAGCCAAGAATGGGAGAACACTCATGCTTTCAAGGAACTAACATTCATTCACTCTCTTTTTAGTTCAACCAATATGGAGCGTCTACTTAAAATATGCTGGGCATTCATCACTACTACTGTTACAGGGCGGGGTGAGGGGCACCCCAGGACCCCCAAACTTGCTGTTCTAAATAGTTTCTTTCATCTGTCCATTAAGACAAAACAGACTCTAGTGCGTAAGCACTTTGATGGAAAGGAACTACTACTAATGGCAACACCAGCACCTTTGCTGGAGCCTGTACCTTAGCAGTTTGGTTTATTATTTAAAGCTGGCCCTTTAGCAAAAAAAAATCTAGATTTGAACTTAGATAATGGCTCTTCAGAATAATGTATCTCTATATATTTCAGTCTCCTCATCTTTAAGAAGGGGAGAGTGACACAGTCACTGTGAGAAGACGACAATGAGCCCCACACTGAGGCCCCCATCTTGGAAAAATGAGGGCACTTAGCAGAGGTGGTGTGAGAGTATCGTCTCACTTAATCCTGACAACCATCCTATAAGCAGCCGAAGCTCAGAAGTTGAGGAACTTGTCTGAGGTCACAGGGGTTACCTCTGAAGTTCCTGGGGTTCCGTCCCACTGGGGGCTCTTAGGGAGATGTGAAGAACATGCCTCAGCATTGTACTTGCAGGGCAAGAAGCTGGGCATTTGTGCACCAGCCATTGCGCTCGCCAGCCAAGTGCACCAGGCGATGGCCCCAGGCAGAGATGCATGAGGTCCCTTTGTTAGAGGGAAAAGGCTGTCCTAAAGCTAATTCCATACAGGCTTTGTGGACTCCACCCCCACCCCAGGCCAAAGCCAAAGACACTGGGAACTCCAAATCCCATCACCACCCAAGGGAAGGTGGCTGGGACCTGAGGGTGGGGTTCAGCAGCCAGGTTGGTATAAAGCCAGACACATGGGCTTTGGAGGGTTCCCCATTTTGGCTCTCCGCCAGCTCGCAGCGTCCGGCCAGCTCAGAGAGTGCCAAAGGGTTTCCAGGTCGGCAGATCGGGTAGGACGCATTAAAGACTTTATTTCCCTATTTTCTCCCTGAGTTGTACATTTTCCTTATTTCCTTTTCCCTTGTAAATAAACCTTTTATTAACCTTTTGTGTGTGCCTGTAGTGGAGTATTCATAAGTCCCTTGTATGCGCACGGGTGAGGACCCACAGCCAGGCACCCAGTTCAATATCGGGGCTGCCCTATAACACCCTGAGAGATGGGCACTGACTGCAGAGCCTTGGGGGAGAGGGAGGCTCCAAGATACAGTGTCTGAAAGTAGGTGCTCGGTATATACAGCTAAGAATCGTGAGTGAGCATGCCCTATCAAACCCCATCCTTTCTTACAGCCTCTCATTTCCCACTGCTGCCAGTAAGAGATTTAAAGCAACTAACCCCCCATAGAACCAACAGAATTCATTACCATCAAACACCACATTTTATATCCACCCACATTTCTGCTTTCCGTTGTAGTTCTACTCTGTGACTTACGGTATGTCAGTTGGAAAGGTAATTCCTGAGGGCCAGGCAGGAGTCAGGGACTAAATCATTTGGTATGCAAACCCTTCTGCACTGCCAATCCCAAATAGGTGTTGAGTTTTAGTCAACAGAAGTGACTTCGCAGAAGATGGGGCTCGTATCCTTTTATAGAGGATGTTACCAACTCTTGAGTCATCTGCAGCTGGCGAGAGCCTGGACAGTTTCTTTTTTTTCCCATAACATCATGGCAAACACTTTTCCTATTTACTGATGCAATTCTTTCCTCTTCTGTGGCAGCTGTACTTAGAAATCAGGGACTGAAAAAAAAAAAATTCCGACAAGTATTTGTGCCAATCTTCCTGTCATCTACGAGAAGTCCAGCTTGCTGAGTCCCAGTCGAAATTCCCCATCTTTCAGCAAGTTTCCTCCAACTTTCCTAGCCCAGCAACCTACGCATTCCTGCTCACATAGCACTAGTAATAATAACGACAGCGATAACAGCAGCCCCTGGCTAGCACTTTCTAGGTAATAACCCCACCCCAGGGGAATTCATGACCTCATTCAGTCCTCACCCCGTAACCCTGCAAGGAACTGATTGACTGAATTTTACAGATCAGGCAACTGAGGTTCATGCAAGTCATGTGACATCTGCTCACATGGCTAGTTGGTAGTGACAGATTCGGGATGCAGACTTGGAATGGCCTCACCTCAAAGCTCAAGGCTTTGCTTCTGTGCTAAGCAGGGCAGCCTGCTCTGTGCCACCTTCTGATTGTTTCAACAGGTAAGTCACAGTTGCTCTCCAGTGGCCACTCTTGAATGGTGAATGCAAAGGCTTCGAGTTGTTCGTGGGATGTGAGGAATAGTTATGAGGTCTCTTGGTTTCCATAGCAGGCAACACGTCCTGCATCCCCAGGATTATGCTCCTGGGACTGTGGGCTGTTTCTCATAATTCGTCTTCCCACTGCCCACAAGCATGTGTTTGGGATGGACCACTGCTACCAACTTTATCTGTCCAGGACACGAGGTAGGGTACAGAATGGGCAGACAGGACCCCGAAGAAGCCCAAACCAAGAAAAAAAAGCGTATGTTCTCCCAAACACCAGAAACAAGAATTGGAGATTATGTGGCGAGAAGGGAACACTAACACACTGTTGGTGGGAACTGGTTTGTGGAAAACAGTATGGAGTTTCCTTAAAATAATAAAAGTAGAAATTCCATATGATCCAGTTATCCCACTTTTGAATATTTCCCCATAAAATACAAAAACACTAACTTGAGGAGATATATGCCCCCATGTTTATTGTAGTACTATTTGCAATAGGTAAAAAATGGAGAGAACCTAAGTGTCCATCAACTGACAAATGGATCAAGAAGTGGAATAGTATTCAGCTATGAAAAAGATGAAATCCTGCCATTTGCAACAACATGGATGATCCCAAAGGGAATTACGCGGAGGGAAATAAGTCAGATGGAGAAAGGCAAACACCGTATGGTTTCATGCACACGTGATATGTAGAGGAAACAAACAGATGAAACAAATAAAACAAAAATTAACTCAAGACTATAAGACCAATTAGCGGTAACCAGAAGGGAAGGAGGCACAAGGGCATGGGAAAGAACAGAACTGGACTTTAAGCAGTGAACTAAATGAAGTATAGACACATGTTGATTCTCAACAATGAGCACTTGAAACTTATACAATGTTAAAATATAACATTACTTTCATTTAAAAAGGAAAATGAAGAAGGTCAAGCAGGGTCAAGGTGCTCTGTTAACAGTGCCAAGGACAATGGACCTCAGCCAGAGACCAGCCTGCCTGCCCCAACCTGGTTAAAACGGTAACAGAGGGGTGGGCCTCTCCTCTGCCAAGGAAAGGTCCCCTTTTCTGTGGGTCGTGAAAGACCCACAATCCAAAAGGTCAGAACCACCATCTTGTTAAGTGATCAATTCATGACGCCCGCGGACACACAGTTTACATCCCAGCGTCCTGCACGCTGGGCCAGACAGAGAGGAGGCAAAGTAACCTTACAGTCCAGTGACCTCACAGTCCAGTGACCTCACAGTCCAGTGACCTCACAGTCCAGTGGGGCGGAGGAGCAGGTAGAAAAATAGCAGACAGGACAAACTCTCAGAAAATGACCTAACCTGGGTGTGAACACAAGTCCCAATGCCTAGTAAGTGCCCACTGCGTGCACTTCCCATTGACTAGAGCTTCCCGAGAGGACAATCACCTGAGGGGGAAGCCCATCTGCTCATCCATTCATTTATTGAATAAATACTTGTTAAGCTAAATGCCAAGGACAGAATTAGGGTTGTGGACCTGATCTTTGCTCAGAGCCCACAGCCCCTATGCAAATAATCCCATGGATAATGAGAAAAAGGCAAAATACTGGGTGCCTTAGAACCTAGAAACTCCAGCATCTTAACACGTATATCCTGAGAATTCTATGAACCCGGAAAGAAGTGAACGCTACAGAGACAGCCTGAGGGACCAGAGGCGAGAACCACTGAGAAAACTCGAGAGCCACATGCTGGGGGGCTGGCTGGGCTCACCCGCCAGCTACCTGCTGGTCCTCACACCCGCAGAGACAGTGGCCTCCACCCACACACCCCCTGGCACGGTCTCCTGGAGAGGACCGCAAGTGTGGAATGTGAAATCCGCGGGTGCCCAGGGTTTGCTGTGCTACCGACTGTGTGTATATTACAATGGAGGCCCCTGCAGACGGTCGAGTGTTTACTCCCAGCGAGCACGCCGATCTCGGAGCCATCTGTGCGGCTGCTCCCCTGGTGCTCAGGGTGTAGGAGGAGGAAGCAGCAGGCAGCCCAGCGCCGGGGAATTTCCCAAGTCACAGAAAGGGGAGGGCCTCGGAGCAGGGAGACTCTGGCTCTCCCTCCTCACTGCTGTGATCTTGGGCAATGAACTCCTTGCGTGTCTTCTGGAAATGGGGATGGGAAGACAGCGATGGTGCCCACAGATATGGCCGTGATGCTCACAAGTCCAAAAAAGGCCAGCGTGTCCCTCAGCAAGCCAGCCCTGAGATGCTCTGCCGGAGAGTGTACTCTCAGTCCCCAAGGGGCAGGCTGGACATGCCAGGGAACCTATACTCCCAGGCCTGGTCTCACACAATGGCCGTGCGAGGTGCCGGCATGGAGCAGATGTGCAGGCAAGCAGCACGGCTGTGATAACCCACAGCCAGGAAGGACAAGGACGCCACAGCCCAGGTGAGGTCAGCACCATGGACATGGCTCCCGGAGCTGCCGATCACCCTGTGTCCACCAGCCACTGCTCCAGGGAATGTCTGGAGGGCACAGCCTGCACGTGACTCTTAAAGGGCAGCACCGGCGTGTCCCAGCCTCCACCCTGCCCACAGAAAAGGGAACCAGGAGGGAAAGGACTTTTCCCAGAGAGGTGTTCACTCCTCCACAGAAGCCCCAACTGCTCAGAGCCCCTGAGACCCAGCCAAGCCTGGGCGGGCAGGCAGCTTTGCATCTTTGATGGCATCTAATCTTCACCCGGCTGGAGTAGCGAGAGGCACAGCTGTTACTGAGAGCCCCTTCTTAACAGGACATCAGCTCTGACAGATTAAATAATTCATTGGCCCGGGCTTGGGGTGGGGGTAGGCTTTCTATGGTTATCAGACACTGCACAAGTAATAATTTCTTTAATCATCACAACCCTAGGAGAGATATTATGATTGTTCCATTTTACAGAGAAGGAAACAGGCTAATATAGGATGAGCATCTTGCTAGAGTTTTCATACCCGCTAAGTGGAGTCTCGGGCTAGCCTGACTCTGGAAGATTCTTCTTCCCTTTCAGAGCAGGAGCGTCCTCAGAGAGAGGTTTCTGCTGTACGGGTCTCTCCCCTAGAGTGAGAACTAGAAAAACCTTCATCACAAGCAGCAACACCGGCCTTGCCTCTCCAGTTTACTCCTGACTCCCGGAGAGGATTCAATCAGTGTCAGCCATGCAGCAACCGAACGTGACAACAGCCTTTGTAAGTCACATTATTCCTTCCGTTCTGTGACAGCCATATTTTCACATTGCACCATTTCTGAAACACAATGTGTCTCACTATGAATGAAATTTAATGTGGCAGAGCTTCTGTTTTCTCCTCCAGCACTGGAATGTCAAGAATGCACATTGCAATCAAAGACATCCCACAACAAAGGAAAGAAAGTGTATCTAAAAAAATGTTCAAATTTTACCCAATGAAAAGCCCAGACCAGCTCTTAAAAGGCCATGCATTTGAGAAATGAGGAGTCTCAACTTTCCCCTTCAGGCCTCCCACAGATACCACGCAGGGCAGCTGCTTCTGCGAGAGGGGTCCTTCCCCTCACAGTCTCTCATGTACCTGTGCCTCTGAAATCCCAGGCTGGGAACCCGAGTTTATTGTCTCTTCTGAAAAGAGGAAGAGAATTCCTTACTCGTCAGTCCACAGGTGACAAGAGCTTATGTGCATCCAATATATTGCAAAACTATGAAATAAATATTGGACTCTATCCTCTGTGTTGCCAGAGTCAGTCCTGGTCCACCTTCCTTCCTCCCTAGGGGCCATCAGGTGCCAATTCACACTGCACCCCTTTCTCTGGTATAAGGCAGAAAGGTGCATCAGTAGTTGCTAACGCTGCAAAAATTGATGTTGGCACAAAGCAACAGGCGGGGGCGTCATGGGGAGGGGGCAGCAGCATGAGGTTTGGAGGGAGGAACAGGGTGGCAGTGAGGGTTGGGGACCAGACTCAAGAGATAGGAAGAAGGACTTCTGAGCCAGAGGGGCAAGTTCAAAGCCAGTCACTGGACAAATGTTTGCTGACCCCTCTGCACACCTGAGGCTCAGCGCCACCACCCATGCGGCCTGCTGAGTGGTCTCTGGCCCCCTGCGCCAGGCGCTGAGCCAGGTTTGCCGGGTCTGCCTGAGCCAGGTTTGCCGGGTCTGCCTGAGTTACGGTGACAACAGCCAGGCTGGGCTCCTGAGCCAGGGCCTCACGCCTCCCTGCCCTGGAGACAGTTTTCATTCTGGGGATCTGTCCAAGTCATTTCACCTCCCAGCTCCCACTGCCTCGCCCCTGCAAGTGGGAGAGTTGGCAGCTACCTCTTAGGGCTGTTGGGTGATTCTTGGTGCATAGAGAGTCCGAGAGCTGAGGGGCCCTGTCTAAATTGTTCACCAGTCAATTCTCAGTGCTTAGAATATTATCTGCTCTAAACAGGACACACGGGTTTTAACTGTCAATAAATTACACAACATAGTGTTTACTACCATTCCGTGATGTCAAGTATAAGGACATTTTCATCTTGCAAAACTCAAATCCTGTTCCCACTAACACTCACTCCCATGTCCTGCTCCCTTCACCCCCCAACCCCTGGCACCCCCATTTCCACATTCAGTCTCCATGACTCTGGCTACTCTGGGGGCCTCAGGTAACTGGAGTTACACAGCGTGTGCCGCTATGGCTGGGGTACTTCTCTCAGCATAATGCTCTCGGGGTTCGGCCATGTTTTAGCGGGGGTCGAACTCCCTTCCTTGTCAAGGCTGGATGAGTGTGACATTGTACATGTACCCCATATTTTGTTTATCCATCCATGGGCATTTGGGATGCTATCCCCACTTGGTTATTTTCGAATAATGCTGCTATGAACATAAGGGTGCAAATCTCTTTGAAATCCTACTTTAAATTCTTTTTGATGTATGTAAACCCAGAAGCAGAAAAACTGAATCACGTGGTGGTTCTAATTTAACCATATGAAGAACTGCCATATCGGTTTCCACAAAGGTTGTCCCGTTTTACAGCCCCACCAACGGTGTGCAAGGGAATTATTCATGTGACCTCAACTAAGTTATCCCACAATACCAGCTCAGACTCTGGAAAATCCTAGAAGAAACTGCCTTTCAACCCCACCCCAAGGAAACCTTATGACCAGGGGACACCCCTGTCAAGCAATCCCAATGCTTACATTTCTTTTTTTTTTTTTAGACAAATATTTCTTTTTTTTTTTTTTTTAAGATTTATTTATTTATTTATACAAGCACTGGGTACAGTCATAAGCACGGGAGGGTGAGAGAATTCTCCAGAGCC